TGTTAATTACCATGTTTCTGTGATAATACTATTTTTTTTTTTTTTTTTTTTTTGGTATCAGGGATCAAACTCTGGTCCTTGCGCTTGCGCAACAGGCAGCGAAACCACTGAGCTGAATCCCGGGCCCAATAATACTAATCTTGAACGGCAGGAAACAAATGTGAATAGCCAGAGCATCAAATGGTTGCATCTTAGAGCACAGCAAAGATGTCATTGAGGCACTCAGCTTCATATAGATATCTTTTAGGTAGATTTTTATTGGGTAATTTCTTTCAGGAGAAGATATTGTGCTTCATAGCAGGTTGTTCTTGTTTAATCTTCAACCTGAAACCCTCCTCTCAACTGGACAGTTTTGCCCAAGAATAACCTTTCTGATGTTATGAAAACTGTCCACTAGGTGGCAACATTGGCAGCTCTCTGGGTCTTCTTGGGCCTACTTTTTTTTTTTCCTTCCTAAGGAGCAAGTCCATTTTATTTCTTGGCCGACAGCTGTGAGAGCAATTCTGCACAGAGAAGCTCTTCCCCAGCTCTTGTGGGATCTGCAGTGCCTTAGGCTGATTTCCAATTAGTCTTTTGGGTGACCATCCTGTGCTCACCCTTACTCCTCTGTGTTGCTTTGAGTGGAACCTTGGTTAACTATTCCTCTTGAACTCCATTAGCAACTATTCTTCATGCATTAGATTAGCAGCAAGTGCTTCTCATTTTGTATTGTTTGTTCTTATATGCATGTGGACTGTCTGCCCAAATAGATTATAAAGTCTTTAAGGACTTCTATGCCTCAGGCACTTGGCATAATACACTGCCAGGGTCAGGCAGCCTGAGAGTATGTCTGTCAGTGATTGTAGGTGGCATTCTTTTGTTTATTGTTTATTCATCACTTACTGATATCTGTTCTAGACTAAGCACTCTTTTGGGTGCCCTGAAAACATGAAAGACACAGTGTCTGCTGTCAAGTAGCTCATAATCTAGAGAAGGGGGGATGGATAGTGACAGGGGCTCAGCGGATGCTGGGAAGCAGCTGTGCTAAGTGACTCTGGGAACAAGAGAGGAGCCCCATGTGGTATATACCGGGTTACTCCACCCTCACCAGAGGGGCCTTTTAGAATTTGGCCTTGTCACTCTGATGACAGCATCTCTCCTTGAAACTAAAATATGCCTCTACTGGTTTCTTTTTCCCCCCAGTTCCTAAATTCTGGCTGATAGGATTGTGGAGGCAGTGTTGGTGTTAGGGTAGCAGAGAGGAGGTAACAGTCTCAACTTCAATGCTTCTGTTTTAGGCCTTTGTGGTCTGCTTCTCAGCATGTGGTAATTGTCCTCTAATTCTCAAAGTGGTTTATCATCTCACTATTTATCTGGGATGATTTGGAATTGCTACTTTACTATTAAGAGGTATAAATACATGTTTATTGAAAATGTATTCATTCTTTCTTTCCTTTTTTGTTATAAAAGATTGAACCTAGGACCCCACATGTCCTAGGCAGATGCTCTAACACCAAGCTAAACTCCAAGCCTGGAAAATCTTTTCTTTTTTCAGTGCTAGGGGTTGAACCCAGGACCTTGGCCAATGCTGGGGAAATGCTCTACCACTGAGCTATGTTCTCAGCCCTCTAGTCATTCATTCTTTTTCTTTCTTTTTCTTTTTTGACAGGGACTCACTATGTAGCCCAGGCTGGCTTCGAACTCAGCAGTCCTCCTGCCCTTGCCTCCCAAGTGCCGGGAATACAGGGGTGCACCACTGCACCTGGCCTAGTCATTCATTTGTTTGTTTTGTTTTTAGTACTGGGGATGGAACTCGGGTCCTTGTGCTTTTGAGGCAGGCTGTGGAACCACTGAGCTGAATCCCCAGCCCTAGTCACTCATTCTCTAGGGTGCCTCTACATGCCCCCTTTTCTTGAAGTCTTCCAATTTCCCAAATAAATTATTCTTCCTTTTATACCTTTATATTACTTCTAACCTAACTTGAATACAAATTGATTTCATTTTGTCTTTTATTGTTTTTCTTTTTGTGGGACTGCAGATGGAACCTAGGGCCAGGCTTGAATTTGTGATCCTCCTGCCTCAGTCTCCCTGAATGCTGGGATTACGGTGTGTGCCACCATGCCCAGTTCATTGTGTCTCTTATAGTAACTGTTCAGAGCTCATTTTGCCTTAAGATTATAAGTCTTTTGAAGGCATGGATCATATTGTATTTAAGTCAGTATTTCCCTCCTCCTGCATCTTTACTTTCGCTATTTACATATAGTAGGCAGAGAACAAATGTTTGTTGATTTAATGAACTAGGATTTTTGTAACATGATCCTTGTTTAGTTGTGTAATTTATATTCTTCTAAACACTCGACAGTGTCAGTAGCTTTTGCATGGATTTTGTTTGACTTAGGTTGTAGGAATATTTGCTTGGCAAATGCTCTCTGGATGATATGAAAAGGTTTTTAGGTAGATCTAGGCTCAGGTTTGGAATTTTCCTGTTTCCTTCTTGACACCTACATATGGCTTTATCACTTTACAGTCTTGGTTTTCCTTATTTTCTAATTTCAACCCTATGTGTGACACATTCTACTATTGTTACATTTATTTAAATATCTGCTAAGTGCCAAGAAGTGACTTTGATGTTGGGGAGACAGACTCTGTATGTATAATGTGGTAACATAATGTAATTTCTTTCATCAAATAACAGGTCAATTCAGTCAAAACATATCTGATAGCCTGCTGGCACATTTTGAAAGATATTTTCTTTTTTTTTTTTGGTACCGGGGATTGAACTCGGGTCCTTGCGCTTGCGCAGCAGGCCGCGAAACCACTGAGCTAAATCCCCAGCCCTTGAAAGATATTTTCAAAAGTCTCAGTGGATCCTTAGGTAGGAAAGTAGAGACTTGTAGCTTCCCAGCTATTTGGTTTTCTAGTGTTTTGTATCTCTCCAAAACTCATTAGAGGATGCAAATTTATAATTTTTCCTGGAAGCCATTTTAAATGTCTGCGTATTGAGTTTCAATCTTTAATTTCTTTAGCTACGTGAGTTAAAATTTTAATTTCACAGCAAGTCTACTGGCGCTCTGTATTCACACTAAAGGGGTGAAGTCTGTCTCTCTGTTCTTCTGGCTAAGGTGAAATTTAATTTTCCAGACCAGATATCCTTTTCAACAAGAGACCACAAAATACAAATCTTATGTCTTGATGATTTGTTTGATCTATGTCCTGGCCGTGTGAGCGCGCGCGCGCAGAAAACTGCAAATGAAAGGCGGAGTCCACGAATCCTACATGCGTTCTTGATCTGTAGCCACAGCACAATCAGGACCATACCTCGCAGTCTGGACCAGCAGTTTGCACCAGGGACGTCCCTGAGAAAACATAAAACGTGCAAAAATGATTATCTTCATAAAACATAATTCACTCTGAAGGCCTCAGATTCTGTCAAGGCAGGAACCAATCAATACGAGTCCCAAGTCTTGTACCTATTAGATCAATCTGAAGGGGCAAGGAGATTATTAATTTTGCTACTGAGTAGTATATAACAACGGAGTATGCAAACAACATTTTAAAGTAAACTGCCTCAATAAAAGCGGAAAACCAAAAAATACTAGAACAAGATTTCGCACTGTTGATTTGACTTTACCCCTTTTTATTTTATTCTTTCCTTTTATTGCAATTATTTTGTATTTCTCTGGGTGTAGAAAGATAAATTTGATTACTTGGCTGTTAGACATTCTGTGCCTTTTTCAAAAACAAGAGAACTTTAAAAAAAACAAAACTAAACTAAAAACGCCTCAATGGCATGAAAAGTTGGAAACTATCAGGAGGCTCTTGCAAACTTGGGCAGCTTTAATTTTTTGCTCAAGATTCAGATTTCTATCTGTCACTTTTGAGGACAGTTGTGCCTATTGGTCTCTGCTCCTCCGGGGGCCAGCGACAGTTCCTCTTCTCCAGTCGTGTCCCACCACAGACAGTACAGCATCTGATTTTCTCAGGACAGATCCGGGGTCGGGGGTGACGCGAGACAGTCCCTAACCGAACGGCGTGAGAGACGGGAGCGGGAAACACTGCGGCCGGAGCGCGGTCTGGGAGCCGGAGGGGCTGGCGGCGCCTACTGCGAGCGCGGGCGGAGGCCAGGCCGGGCCGGTCGGGAGGCAGCACGGCCGCCATGTTCCCGCCCCACCGCGCCCGGCCGGCCGGCCGGCGGCTGCTGGTTGGCGGCGGCTTCGGCCTGCACGGCGGCCACCAACCCCGCCCCGAGCCCGTGACAGCGGCGCCCGCGAGCCCCCCCTCGAAGCGCGGGCGAGGCCAGGCGAGTGAGGGTCGCCCCGGGAGGCGCGCGGCGGCGGCAGCGAGCCGGGGACAGGCTTCCTTCAGGCGGGGCGGGCAGCACCGCCCCCGCTCCCTCCTCCTCCCGGTGGCCCCTCCTCGGGCCGCCGCCCCCTCCCGGATCTGTGCTCCAGTTCAGAGAAAGAGGAGCGTGTGTGTCTGTGTGTGCGTGCGCGTGTGTGAGTGTGTGTGAGGCGAGGGGGAGGCGCGCTCTGAGCCTCGGCTCCGCGCCGGCGGCGGGGCCGGTGGGCGT